AATTGTGTTGCGTTAAGGTCGCACGGTGTCTAGTTTTTCTAGTGTAAGAAATCTAGTCCCGTGACAGGTGGCTTCTGTTCATGTTTGGTTTTGATTAAATAATTTATGAGACTGTTCGAATTTTTTTTCTTGTTCCCAATTGGTTTTTCATGAAATCAAAAAAAAAAATTGTCGATAACCTTTTCATTCATGATACTTGCACTTCCATGCATCAATTGCCATGAGATTGTAATTTATGCTCCTAAACTTGCCGCGGAGGATACTTGTGATGCTGTCATCACGATCGAGCGATTTGTTGAGACGAGATGACATGGATGTGCCAACATGTAATAGGTGCAATAGATAATAAACTTTATAATGCAGCATGCGATGTTGCACGTTTTGGGTGGGCATGGCATTGAGACGTACGACAGATGAGGAGTGTTCATTAAGTTTGAGTTGGACAGTTAACTTTATTTTGTTTCAAATTAGACATTCAACTTTGTTACTTTCATGTTGATAATTACATAAATTTGTTCCAAATTAATCACTGAACTTTATGTTTTGTTTCACATTGGAGACTTCATTAGTCTCCAATTTACAATTTAGCTCCTATTTGAACTCCATTTTTAAAACTCATATTCCCCAAACTCATTTTCAAATGGACAAATACACATGTTTTCAATTAAATATTTTAACATGCAAATTCAAAACTTTTTTTCTACTTTTTTACCACTTTTCTTTAAAAAATAAAAATAAATATCACTTCTTACAAAACTTATTCTAAAAAAATGGTCTGAAAAGGGGGCTTAATATTAAATTTGATGTTGGGCAGTGAATGCTCATTTAATAGACAGTGATCGAGCTCAAACAATCATGTATTTTCCCATATTGGAAGATGCCCTATTTGAAAACATTTTAGATTGATGCAAATCCAAGTAGATCATTTAGGAGTTGCAAGGAGACCAACATAGTGACTAACTTGAAATGAATTTTGTTGACCTTGAAATTTGGTGAGAACACCTGGTCAACAGATTTCGATTTTACTCCATCATGTATTAGATTTTTGCATACTTGGACAAAGCATTAGATGTACACGATCTTTTTTCGGTGAAGACAGAGACGATCGCGGACATTTAAATGCTCAAATCAGTTAATGGTGGGATATAATATAGGTGCAGGAGAGATGGTGGACGCGAGCAAGATATATATGGATTCAGATTGAAGAGAAAATGCCAAGCAATCTACCGTTGAAGTGAAAAATTGAATTACTTTTGGACGACACTGGGTCTGAGTTTATATTGGAAGACAAAAGGCGATGTCAATTGAATGCATGATACTTGGTCTCATCCTAACAACTCACAAGTTAGACTTGGTAGGTGTCACATCCAGCTGCGCTAAGTCTAAGGCTACAAATGAGCTGAAAAGTGGTCACCTTATGTCACAAGCCTGCCACATAAATAGTTGATTGAAAGTGCCAACTGTAGAGTTACCAAATCTGTCAAACGTACGGAAGATCTCCTACAGAAGATCTTTAGCCCAAAGTGATACTGAAGAAGATGCCTTGTGAAACATAGGCTTATCGCTTCAAAAATACACTGTAGCCAATTGTGGGACCTCGTTTCGAAAATGGAGGTTTGGCCTCTGTCAGTCACTTTGGATGAGGATCACTTCGGCCTATGCCCATAGGGGCCTCAATTAGGCTTTGGTCAATGAAGTAACATAGAGCACGGGCCCTGAGTGGCTTCTTGTTGTCTTTTTAGCAGATTGTCACGTGGCTTATATCGTGGGACGAGGCATAACAATATTCTCATTTTTCAGAGATAAGGCCTCTTTACTTGGGAGAAACATAGTCGTAGAGATGAGATCCCATATTGTAGGGATAAAGTTTCTTCACTTAGGAAAAGCATGGTTGCAGAGGCTAACTCCCATTTTGCAAGGATGAGGCCTATTTATGTAAGTGAAAGATTAGCTTCTGAAGCCATGTCTCTAATGTGAAGTGACATTAATGGAAAGTGTGCTAATTGTGAAGACTCGGACCCTGGTTCGATTGGTGCTTCCAGAATGTGTTAAAATCGCGTTTTTTGATATTGCAACTTTATTAAAATGCACCTTTAACTAGATTGAAACATGTGTTTACATCTTGGCCGTTGGATCTATTTCTGGATGATTTTATTAGGGTGATGGTTCACTTTACAATTGGTATTTGGTTATGAAGGGTTTTCATTCATTCATTCTCTCTGTTGGTTTTGAAGAAGTTCTCTCGTCTTCTAGGGTTTTCTTCTTCTATTTTATTCTCTAAAATATCCGATTTGAGATTCTCGATTTGTAATCTTTAACCCCGTTTAGTGATATTCTAAGTGAATATCTGTAAGAGAGTTTTGAGTTCTCTCGAGTTACTGTTTCTGTGGGTTTGTGAAGATTTTTGGTGATTCTTTGTTGTATATGTGAGAGATAATTGTTCTTGTACTGTTTTAGTGTATTGGATGAACTTTTGTAATCTTTGTTGCCGTTTTGGGCTATATAGTGGAACCGAGCATAAATCTAATTTATTGGATACTTAACGAAGAATGTAGGTGTTAGAGGCAGTCGTCAAACTTTCGGGGCTTAGGCCGAAATATATCGTTTGTGTTATCTTTAATTTCTTCCGAGATATCATTTTATCGTTGTTTCTCAATGTTAATATCGTGTGTTCCTCGCCTTACAATGGTATTAGAGCCATTACTGAGGAACAAGATACCCGGATCTTGGAGAAATTGGTTGATTTGCAATAGATCTAAATTTTTGGAATTTCGGTTAAGCAATATTGAAAGGAAATTGAGTTTTCTAAACTCGTTGGGTGAGATCCTTCTAATTTTTTGTAAAGTTCGTTTTTCAAAAATTAGGGTTTCTTGATTTTTCCCTTGATTTACCGTACACATTAACCCCATTGAGATTAATCTTTGTCCAAAGGCTCCTACGAGGTCTTGAGAATTTGAGATAAATTAAATACGGATGTGTACTCGTAGGATCTTGCAGGAAGAATCTTTGAAACATAGTCTTGCGATCTCTGTTATTGTGTTTTCTTGTGAATCTTGATCTGCATATTCTCTGTGTGTGCTTGAAATTTGAAAAATCTTGTTTTACTAAGTGTATTACTGTGATTTGTGCGTATCAGCAATCTGTACTCTTGATGTTCTTTGCAAAACTGTCTTCTATTTGTGAATCATACTTGACTACAAAATGACCTTCATTTTTGTAAATCAATTTGATGGAAAATGTGATTCAATATTTGGGGTAAAAAATTGAAGGCTATTTTAATGCAAATAAGATGTGTTAGGGCTTTAGATGATAGCCGGCCTGCTGATTTACTTCATGCGAAGAAAACTGAACTTAAAAAAGTTGCTTGAAATACTATTTTCTTATTCTTATATGAAAATGTGATAAGGAGTATTGGTAATACAAAAACCGCTTCTGAATTGTGGACTA